ATTTTGATAACAAACAACTTCCAAAATTATTAACAACTTTGTATGATAAGAAAAAATATATAATACATTATGAAACACTAAAATTATATATTAATTTAGGTTTAAAGATAGAGAAAATTCATAGAGTATTAGAATTTAGTCAATCTCCTTGGTTAAAAGTTTATATTGATTTTAATACTAATCTTAGATCAGAAGCTAAGAATGAGTTTGAAAAAAAATTTTTCAAATTAATGAATAATAGTGTTTATGGACGTACTATGATGAATGTTCGAAATCATGTTGATATAAGATTATGTTCTAATGCATACCAACTAGAAAAATTAATTACAAAACCAAATTTTGATCGAAGAACAATTTTTACAGAAAATTTAGCTGCCGTACATATGAAAAGAACACAAATATCTTTCAAACAACCAATATATGTAGGAATGTGTATTTTAGATTTATCTAAAATGTTAATGTATGATTTTTATTATAATATTATAAAGAAAAAATATGGAAATAGAGTTAGATTGTTATACACAGATACAGATTCACTAATATTAGAAATAAAAACTAATGATTTTTATCAAGATATGAAAATTATGTTAGATCATTTTGACACATCAGATTATCCAAAAGATAATATTTATGGTTTACCTTTAGTTAAAAAAAAGTTTTAGGCAAGTTTAAAGATGAGTTAAATGGAAAAATAATGTCTGAATTTATAGGTTTAAGATCTAAATTATATTCTCATCGAATCTTAGATACTGAAAAAGAAATTAAAAAAGCTAAAGGTGTTAAAAAAAATGTTGTAGAAAATAAAATATGTTTTAATGATTTTGAAAAATGTTTACTAACAAAAGAATCAAAATATGTTAAACAAAATTTATTTAGAACTAAGAAACATGATATTTTTACTGTAGAACAAAACAAAAAAGCTTTAAGTGTGTATGATGATAAAAGATTTATTTTGGAAAATGGTATTGATACATTAGCTTGGGGACATTATAAAACAAATATAGATAGAAATGATTTTGTAAACCATCTCAATACATTGATTAGAAATCAAAATCAAAAAGATTAGAAAAATATTTTTAATAGAACAATGTTAAAAAAAATTTTTTTACTAATATAAATAATAGAAATGGAAAATTGTAAACAATTTTTAGATATGATCCAAATATATAAAAATATACTAAAAGAGTTATCAGAAATTGAATCATCTATGTATAATTTAGAAACTCATGTATCATCTTTATATCAATCTTATGATAATAAGTATAGTTACAATCGTTACAAAAACAATTTTAAGAAATTATTTGATTATTTTAAGAAAATTCATAATGAATTATCGAATCATATAATGAATAATTGGTTTGAAATTTAATATTCACTAGTTTGTTGTTAGACTTTTTTTAATAGAACAATTCTATTAAAAAATATTTTAATTATTATTACATTTCGATTTTAATTATTAATATCATAAGTATTATGAAAAATATTTTGGGGGTGAAAATGTATTTAATAAGTTTTGCGAAAAATGTTTTTATTATTATTGCATTTCGATTTTTATTTTTAATAATTAAGTTTTGCGGAAAATATTTTTATTATTATTGCATTTCGATTTTTATTTTTAATAATTAAGTTTTGTGGAAAATATTTTTATTATTATTGCATTTCATAAGTTTTGCGAAAAATTTTTTTAATTATTATTATTTCAATTTTCTGATCTTTTTGCACATTGTTTTCTTTGTGATCTTTTACTGATATATTATGAGGTGCGCCAGGACTGGTATATATATACTACTTATAGGTACATATATTATACGCTACAAAAATAATTGTTATATTTTAATATAATTTTAAAACAAAGTTCCCGGTGGTCTGACCTATTGGGAATCGCCATTTTCTGACGGATGCATTATGAACATTTTTTTTTAAATACCTAATTAGTATTTATTAATTATTTCTTTTCACTAAAAAAATATACTTATTAGTTGCGTTTGAAAAATAACAAATATTGCGTATTATTCAAATGCATATTTTAACTTCTGTGAATATAATTTTAAAAATCAGCCTTTGATTCTACCTGAAAAATGAAAATAAATTATAAATTATATATAATTTTATTTATAAAATAAATGAAAAATTGACGTAAACCAAAGCTTGAAAATTGAATACAAAGCTCCTAATAATATATTGTTACAATAGCACTTGAAAAATATTAAAAATACATAGGCACAATTTTTTTTTCTAAGCATTTATATTCAAATTTTGACAAAATTTATCACTTTTAAAATTTATTAATAATTTTGTAGTTCAAAATTTATAAAATGATCAACTTTTATAGCTATTAATTGAAAATTTAAAACAAGAATCCACGTAATTATAGGTTATAATATTATATATTATATATTATATATTATATATTATTATACTTTATTCACATTAGTATCATCAAATATACTTCGTAATATCATAGACTGACTAACCGTTTTGGTTCAGAATCGTTTTTCTTATACAATGATATTATATCATTGAATTCAAATTTAATACCATCCATTATACCCACTTGTAACCGACTGTATAGCAGAGCACATTTTTTTTATTTACTTTTTTTTTGGTTCTGTCATTAAGGTTTGGGGAATTAAAACTGCTTCGATTTTCTTCAACAGTATCTTTTTCGATGGGACAGTGAATCTAGTTAGTGATTTGGAAGGTCAAATTTTAAAATTATCATTAGTTTTAAAAAGCGCCGGGAAAAACAACATAAAAATTAAGGAAAAACGGGAATTATTACTCAAAATCTGTTTTTGACAAATCGATTTTGGCTGTTGGTGTAACTTTAAAACATATTAAAGTATATATATAACATTTTCACTGGTTGTTTATATTTACATTTTCTATACACGATCAAATTTCCAAAATATTTTGATTTATTTTGCACTGTTTAGGAACATTGTATTAGTCCTTTTTTTCTATGAATGTCAATAAAAACTTTATCCGTGGGGTAAAAAAGCTTGAACATTTAATACAAGGCTCCTACTATATTGTTATAATGACATTTGAAAAATATTAAAAATACTTAGTTCATAGCTAAGGATTAAAATTTAAAACAATGTTCCACTTAAATAAGAAAATATATAAATTACTTCATTCACTATAATATCATCATATTCATATTATATACTTAGTAATATCATAGTCTGATTGACTGTTTTCGCTCAGAATCGTTTTTCTTATACAATTATATTATATCATTGAATTAAAATTTAATACCATCTATTATACATTGGCCCATTTGTAACCTACTGTATAGCAGAGCACATTTTTTTTGGTTCTGTCATTAAGGTTTTTGGAAGTAAAACTGCTTCGATTTCCATCAACAGTATCTCGTTCGATGGGAAAGTGAATCTAGTTAGTGATTTGGAAGGTCAAATTTTAAAATTATCATTAGTTTTAAAAATCGCCGGGAAAAACAATATAAAAATTAAGGAAAAACGGGAATTATTACTCAAAATCCGTTTTTGACAAATCGATTTTGGTTTTTGGTGTAACTTTAAAACATATTAATGTATATACATACAATTTTCACTGGTTGTTTATATTTACATTTTCTATACACGATCAAATTTCCAAACTATTTTGATTTCATTTTGAACTGTTTAGGTACATTTTATAAGTCTTTTTTCTATGAATGTCAATAAAAACTTTATACGTGGGGTAATAAAACTTGAACATTTAATACAAGGCTCCTACTATATTGTTATAATGACATTTGAAAAATATTAAAAATACTTAGTTCATAGCTAAGGATTAAAATTTAAAACAATGTTCCACTTAAAGAAGTAAATATATAAATTACTTTATTCACAATAATATCATCATATTCATATTATATACTTAGTAATATCATAGGCCGATTGACTGTTTTCGCTCAGAATCGTTTTTCTTATACAATTATATTATATCATTGAATTCAAATTTAACACCATCCATAACAGTGACCCACTTGTAACCCACTGTATAGCTGAGCGACATCCACTTTTCAATTTTTTTTTATTATTTTGTTTTACACATACGTTGGCATAATTATAATCAAATAATACTAATAGGTATATTATCGTAGACGATGTGCGAACACAGTAATAACTAACAACATTAAGAACACACTAATACACTCAAACTAGTAATAATTACAATTTAACAAATTACAGTTAATGGTCCTTTATGCATTTTTTCAAATTTTCCGCAATTCTATAAAATTTGAAAATTAAATTTTATATTTTAGTTCCCACCTCAATTATAATACTTTTCTACTGATCTACTACCCGATACCTATTTAAGAGGATTGATAGGGTGTATTATATCGATCAAAACACACTTTACAGGAAAAACACTCACACCTCGTAGATTGGTCAGATTTCCGTAATTTTCTTTTGTTAGTTACAGGAATATTTTTGGCAGGGCGCATGTGACTTTGATTTTTGATTACGTTGTTAAAAACAAAAAATAATTCAAAAACTAAAAAGTTGTAAAAATGGATTAGTTTCAAACTTGTAATATAAGATTTAGAAAATAATTTTGAAAGTCCAAGTCCAATTTTCCACAGCAATAAGTCTTTCTATATCCAACAAAAATAAAATAACGGAAATCAGACCAATCTATAACGGCGTGATAATTTTTCCTGTAAGACATGTTTTTGAGCAAAAAAACAGGTCGCGCGCAGGTCCCTTAATAAAGTATAATAGATTAAAGGTAATTTTTTTATGAAGCGATAGTCGCAGTGTTGCCAGGTTTGGAAAGAGTGATGATTGTACAGTGTCTATAAAATGATCGAATAAAATAAAAACAGTAAAATAATAAACTATAAACTATATTGTAGTTCTGGCAGTTCTGCAGTATTTACTTTATTTTATATTTTACCATATGGATTAAACACAATACACAAGTCACTGATATAATAATAATAGATTGTATACAATACAGAAATCAAAAATATAATAATAATACATTTTTTACAATATGTCATTATACAATAGGCGATTCGCTAATGCAATGATATTAAAAAAAAAACATGGTATTACTCCAAACATGGTATAACAACCATTTTCCGCCAAACCTAAATTAAATTATAAATATAGTTATTTAAAAAAATAATATATTATATTAAGTGGGTAAAAGTTGTATTTGTATTGTTTTATTAATTTAATAATGTTCACGTGTGCCTTGTGTATCGGTTAGTTATTGTGTTCTATCACGTGTAAAATTATAATGATTACAAATTGTAGTGATATTTAAGATTCTAAATTGATATAGATATACAATATAGTTTAGGACATTATCTGCGAATTAATATCGTTTTTATTTTTTTTTTTTTATCACTTTTACGAAAAACGTTGATATTATTTCAAAATCCATTATTAATGTGTTTTTTAAACTTAAATACATTTTTTTGTAGTTCCGATGTCGAAAAAATAAAAACTGAATAAGTATCACAGACAACCTTCTCGATTCTTTCGGGCACAAAACAGTTTTTGCTATGTTTTTATTCGTAAAACAGAGACAACACAAATGTTCTAATTTTTTTTCTAATTCCTGGTCTGGTTATAACTATAGGTTTATTTTATTTGTGTATCACCTAACCAGTGATTGACGAAGGATACATCATTCAAATTCTGATTTTTGGAATTTTAAAGTCACACGTGATTTAGAACTCGTATGATAATATTATATTAATGATATATGACTATAATAATTATATACATGATATTACCGTTTACGTTAACCATCGCCTCAAAAGATTTTCGTCCCAGAGGATTGGACGCCACGCACTTATATTGACCGCCGTCCGTATTTTCCACTTTAGATATAATCAATGTATTGTTTTGAAATACCTGCAGTAAACAGTAAGTATACTATGGATTAAAAGTTAAATAAATGATAAATGTTAACTAGGTACTGACAAAAGGTTAGATACGTCATAAAAAAAGAATCGAGGAAGTAAATATATTCTTAATAGCCAATAAAAAACGAGTGTTGTTCATAATTATATAGGTACCCGCTGTATAATGCGTACATGTAACTATATGCAAGTATGAAGTGAGGCTCGGTTCTCGACCAGGGGTGTTACCCTGGCACCCCAAGGCCAAAATTTTGAGTTGAAAACCGATTTGTATTATACATAATACCAATCTGTTTTCAAGTCGAAATTTTAATTATTTAATGTTTCGGGTGCTGGGGTAATGTTAACTTACATACTTAACTTTGTATATTATCATTGCATATTTCGTCATATTTTAGGAAAAGTGCAAATTTGAGCAATTTTTAGCATATTATAATATTTGTGCATATTTCACATTTTTCAACATTATTTATACATTTTTAACTTTATTTTCAAATAATAAAAAATGTGCCTTTTTATTCATTTACGATATTTTTAAATCGCTATAAGACCGACTTCCCAAGAAACTTGTATTAAAAAGTAAAAATCTTTGATCAGCATTTTTAGGAAACCTGTTGTGCCGTTGCCATATAAACAAAAACGCTCCAGTTATATATTATGTACATCAGTACGTTACAAGTGGGTCACTGTAAGGGATTGTATTACATTTTAATATGATATAATATCATTGTATAAGAAAAACGATTCTGAGCGTAGACTGACTGTCAGCCTATGATATTACTAAGTACATTTGATGATATTATTGTGAATAAAGTAATTTATATATAGCATATTTACGTGTAACCTTGTTTTCAATTTTCAATCCTTAGATATAAAAGTATACAAAATCATTTTTAATTTTTTTATTTGATAAATATTGTCAAAAATCGAACACTAAATGCTTATTAAAAAAAAACTCTGACTGAGAATTTTTGTTATTTTTAAACTGATTTTTTAACAATACACCAGGAGCCAGGAGCCTAATTTTATATTTTCAAGATTTTTTGCCAACAGATAGTATTTTCTAATATTCATAGAAAAAATAAATAAAAAAATTGAAATTATAAATTGTCCGTAAACAGCTTCAAACGCTCATAAGTCATAACATTTTAATCTGATTTGCTTGTAGATATTTTTTTATTTTTTTGATAAAGGTCGACAAACTTATAAGGAATCTTGTATAACGTTTTCAAATCTTAGATTTATAAAGGAAATTTTTATGAATTTATAACACAAAATAATTTGCACATTTTCCTGAATTTAAATTTTAAAGTATTTTTACTTTTGACCCCCCAAAGTACCAACTAGATTCACTTCCCTATCAGAAAAAATACTGTTGAAGGAAATCCAAGCAGTTTTACTGTGCTAAAATGTGATGTCATACACAATAAAAAAAAAAACACGTATCTGCTCAGAATCTAAAAATTATTATTTGTGGTAAGCAAATTTTATCTAAATTTAAACAGTTCGAGTGAGATTTTTGTGGTGGGATTTTGTCCTAGATTATTTATTGGCCTCATGCAGGAGTAGAGTTGCATCAAATAGAAAATATTTATTGATGAAAAATTATTGGGTAAATTATTCCTAAAAAGTTTGAGTTTATGCAATGAGTATAAAGTAAATAATTAATAGAAATTTTTTTAACAACAGTGTACGATTATATATAAGCTGATTTTTCACTGGGTTCTCACGAAAGATTAATTACCATACATATTAAAATAATCTTACCTGAACTCTTTGGCCAAGTTCTAGATCGATGTCGTCTTTGGCCCACGTTATAAAAGGTTCCGGGTCTCCTACGGCTTTGCACGAGAGTTGTAACTGTTCACCGACCGACACCGTCTTGTTCTCTGGTACCACGATTATATCCGGAGACGCTGTATGTACAAAAATATTAGTGATGTACAATGATTTCGTATTTCGATATCAGACCAATTTTACCGATATCGATATGACAAAAATAATATTCGATACCGAAATACGACATCGCAGGTAAATATCCAACATTTTATCGATATCAAAAATTGAAATCAATTCGTTGCAATTTCTATTTTCTATTTATATAAGTTTTGACAGTAAATCAATGTCTAAGAACGATTAAACACCAACGATAAGCAATACGATAAAGCTCTTACAATATACGTATATAGCTGTGACTGTTGGATTTTTACAATAATTAGTCTCTTTTTTCGGTCGTCTACGTTGAGTTAAATAATTAATAAGTTAAATTAATAATAATTTATTTGTCAATAGTTATAATTAATAAGTTAAATAATTAGATAAAAATTATGAGTTCAATTAAGATAGTACCATTACCTGGAGGTCGTAGTGACATATGGAAACATTTTGGCTTTCAAATAGATAATAATGGTACAATATTAAATAAAAAACAAGTTCACTGTCGCGAGTGCAAGTCTATTATTGCGTACAGTGGTAATACTAGTAATTTAAAATTACATTTACAACAATGCAAAAAAAAAAACCTATTATACTGGGTGATTCTTTTATCAATCAACACTCATTATTTCAAAAAGTGTAAATTTTTTTGAAAATATTTTTTACATAGTTTCAAGTCGCTTATAAAACAACGTTTTTATTAAAAAATTATATTTTTAATTATTTTTATCCTTATAATTTTTTAAGTTTTTTACTTTTTTGAATGACAACGTAGGGTTTTAATTTTATATTCTAAAGTAGAATTTTTTTCTTAGTATTTAGATACATGAAAATTGAATTGGGGCTAGTAGTTTTTGAGTTATAAGTATTTAAAGTTTAGACGAGCGGAGTGGAGTGGTTCGGGGTTACCCCGCGAAATGTTTGTCCACTTCACCGCTCGTCTAAACTTTAAATACTTATAACTCATAAACTACTCGCCCCAAATTCGATTTTCATGTATCAAAATACTAAGAAAAATATTCTGCTTTGGAATATAAAATTAAAACCCTATGTTGTCATTCAAAAAGTAAAAAACTTAAAAAATTATAAGGATAAAAAATATTTAAAAATATAATTTTTTAATAAAAACGTTGTTTTATAAGCGACTTGAAACTATGTAAAAAATATTTTCAAAAAAATTTACACTTTTTAAAATAATGAGTGTTGTTTGATAAAAGAATCACCCAGTATATAAAAATAAATTATATCGATATATCGTTTGTTTTTCGATATCGCGATATGATATCGATATCAATGAACCGATATCGATAACGGAAAATATATCGTTGTGCATCACTAAAAAATATACATTATACATAGGTCAAAATCACCACATCATTAGCGGTTATGCACCAAGACAAAAAATTGAATTTAAGCGCCATGTGGGTCTAATGACCCGTCGATGTGACTTGTAATAGCGCCACGTAGAGTTTTGAAACCCGTCATGCAGTACTTGTCTTTGTCGCCAAGTATTGTCTCCAAAACCTTCATTTTACATGTTTTCTTATAGACTTCAAACAGAGCGTGGTCTGTAGGGCAAGTTTGTAAAATGGTTCGTTGAAATACCGCGGAGTTTATATTAAATTTTGTATACTGGGTGATTCTTTTATCAAACAACACTCATTATTTTAAAAAGTGTAAATTTTTTTGAAAATATTTTTTTACATAGTTTCAAGTCGCTTATAAAACAACGTTTTTATTAAAAAATTATATTTTTAAATATTTTTTATCCTTATAATTTTTTAAGTTTTTTACTTTTTTGAATAACAACATAGGGTTTTAATTTTATATTCCAAAGCAGAATATTTTTCTTAGTATTTTGATACATGAAAATCGAATTTGGGTTGAGTAGTTTATGAGTTATAAGTATTTAAAGTTTAGACGAGCGGAGTGGAGTGGTTCGGGGTTACCCCGCGAAATGTTTGTCCACTTCACCGCTTGCCTAAAACTTTGGTTGATAAAAGAATCACCCGGTATATATATATAATATATATATTAGGTATATGGAAAAATGTATAAATAGAAAATGTTTGGAAAATTTCTATCGTTATCGACTTGTTATCGCACAATTTTTTTGTCAGTTTTATGTGATCAAAAGTGATAATTGCCTTTCTTTTCGCTGTAATGTAAAAAATTATTTAGACAAACCTACTGAATTTGATATAAATCATTTTGACAGGTCGAATGAAAAGACAATAGACCCTACATGGCACTTAACCTGTTAAAGTTACAAACCCCTAACAAAATCTGTCAAACAATAGTAACCATTAAGGCGAAACCCACTTATAGCCGGCTGTGCAACAATAAATAGGTTCAGCACAGTTGCAGACAATATTATACTATGTAGATTATAGCATATAATATTACTATGTTATATATTTTATGTCTTTTCTTTAATTAGAATCAATACTCACTGCAATGAAAATCGATTTCGGTTATTTCCTGCAACGATAATTCTCTCATTTCTACGGGAAAATAACACGACATGCGGAAATTAAAGAAGAAATCTGGGTGGGGGTAATTTTTCTTCAGCCCGTTTGCAAACAACAGCATATTGCAATCGCACGTCAACGGGTTACTGTTAATGTTTCTGTAGTAGAAAGCAACAATGTTTTATTCAGACAAATATATAATTCAAATAATGAAAGTATAACTATTATAATATCAATAATATATATATTGTAGACAGTTCATTATGACTTACAATCTACTCAACGACGTTAACGAACCAAATATCCCAGGTGGAATATTTCTTATCTTATTGTTCTGTAAATAAGTATTTATAAAATATGAAATGTAATTTTCATTTGGTTACACAATACGATCACATGAAAAATGTGTTTAATACTTACAGATATTCCAGTTTTGTAAGTCCCTTAAACATTTCCAAATCGAGCTTATGAATTTTGTTGCCATGCAATAATAAGCTTTCCAAACTCGTTAAGTTATTAAAAACCCCAGTCTCGATGTTTTCGATTTCATTTCCAAACAAATATCTAATAATTAAATAATTTATTATATAGATAATATATAGATAATAATATTATATAAATAAATATATAAACACTAGCTATTTGTTAATTTATATTCTTACAATATCTGAAGTTTCGAAAGGTTGGCAAATGCACCAATTTTCAAATTACTTATTTTATTGTAGTGCAACTTTCTGAAAATATGTTTACATTCTGGATTATAATCAATTATAACGTCAATGTATTTAAAAATGTTTATATTAGGCATATTATAACTCACAATTTCTTTAAGTCTGTAAGATGAGTAAATGAATTCGGTTCGATATCCATAATTTCATTATGGCTCAAGTCCCTGGAATACAATACAATTTGTTTATTGTCGCATATCCGCTGGTCTTATGAGAAATTTTATGATTATAATTAATGAATAGTGTTTATTAATACATTTAAAAGTGCAGACATTATAATATTATAGGTAACTCACAATTCCTTTAACTCTGTAAGATGAGTAAATGAATTCGGTTCGATATCCCTAATTTCATTAAGGCCCGAGTCCCTGGAAGACAATACAATTTGTTTAATTATTATCATACAAAATATTATATGATTATTTCATAGTATTATTGGATCTCGTGTTATGTAAATTATGTAAATTGTTTTTCTATTTTTTTTTTTTGTACTCAAGGACCTATGGATATGGATCATGTGCAATACCTATATAATTATTGTCTTCATTAATATCGAATGCGTTATTATACTCTTGTTATCATAAAACAACTTTAAATCCTATCATATTTATTTTGGGACCTAATAGTTAAAAAGTTAAACTTACGCAGCATTCGGTGTACATGCACTTGATAGTGTGACTACACGGATTGTCACAAATTATTTTTTTCAAACGATAATATTAATGTTATGCGCTAAGCGGAATACAGACTTTCAACGATATTAAAATTTAATATAATTATTGATTATGAAATATATTAAGACCGGCTTGCCAAGAAACTTGTATTAAAAACCATGTGTGTTACCAGTACGCGCGCGGGAAGTTAAACTTCTTTTGAATGGTACACGTGAGTGAGTGAAAAAGAAAGAAAAAATATTAATTAATTTAAAAAATGAGAAGAATTATCCGGAATTATTTATTATTGATAGTTTTATTATTTTTTTAATATTTTTATTCGACAGATCGATGGATAATTGTTTGTAGTATTGTTTTTATCCAGACAATAGATTTGTGAGTGAATACTAATAATAATAATAAAAATAAATAATATTAAAAAAAAATTTGGTTGCTCGTAAAAAATTACAACTCTTAAAAAAATTATGATTGTTGAACTCCTTTTGGGTGTAACTTGCTGGGGTAAGTGCAGCACAGCCACCCTGGTAAGCAATGTTCAATAATTTGATTTGATGCAAGCTTGTACCTGATCTGCTCGAATAACCAATGGCAACCAATAAATAAATGCTAATTTCTAATGTAGACTGTAACCAATGGCAACTATTAATAAATAAAAATAAAATTTCCAATTTCCATCTTGAATCTCAATGTCCCTGTTTGAGCACCTATTTAAAATGCGAATTTCGAAAAATCCTTTCTTAGCGCACGTCTACATCATAATAGCTATCTGTATGCCAAATTTCAGCCAGATCCGCCCAATGGTTTGAGCTGTGCGTTGATAGCAGTCAATCAGCTTACTGTTTTATACATATATATATATATATATATATATATTATAATATATAATAAAACAACATTACCATGACAATATTTATTTATTTACGGACATGTACGCTTTTGCGTTCGTACGGCCGCCCGTTCGTACGCGCCGCCCGTTCGTTCACGCCGCCCGTTCGCTTTTTTTCCTCACTACCGTACGTAAAGAAGTATAACTTCAAAAAGTAAAAATCTTTGACCAACATTTTTAGGAACCCTGGTGTGCCAACTGTAAAACAATTGTTGCAAACTCAAATAGAAAAAAATATTACAAATTTGCTACAAATATAAATATTACTTATTACTCTATACAAATGAGTGGGGGTGCGCCAGCGAAACAACTTTTCGATACGAGTGATACTCTGCAATACGATTTTGAGATCGGGAAAGGTGTTTACGCCACTCGAATTATAATATCCATAAGATCATAACACAGTGACGTATTTGAGCAGTATTTAGTATTGGGGGGGCGTGGTAAATTTTTTTTGAAATGTAATTATTTTGATTTAGATTCAAATTTATATAATTTAATTTTTAAAAGGTACCAATTGTTATAAAACAATAGTTCACATTTAAATACAAATTAAACGGAGTTTGATAAAAAAAAAATCGGAAAATGCTCACCTTGCATCAACAAAAATGTCACTGCAGGCGTTAACACAATTATTGATAAATTAGATTTTGCAATACTCGGACAAAGTAAATTACTAAGTACATTTTAAAACTCGACACCCGGCGTTTCAACGTCGGTATTATCTTCCGTACAGTCGACTTACAGAATTTTGGTAGCCGGAGATATGCGGTCGGGAATCCGGTTCAGTTCCTGTCTATAGCAGTCCACAATATGCTCTTCATTGCATCTGCATTTGTAAGGGCAATCGGCGGTGACCGATGGAAACGACGACAAGGAGAACATCAACAGCAAAAGTAGCAACACCATAGTCCTCCGTAAAACAGCGTCGGCTGCGGCGTCTTGATGCATCGGCTGAGTCATCGCTCCGACTGTTCGCAAAGCACACTACACAATCGCACTTGCCGCTGCGTAACGTAATAGAAAATAATATACAACACCGAACGAGTGCGGCGAACTGCGTTGTATCACTCTGTATATTCCAAGTAATAAATAGTTACCTCAAGAAAGGAAATGTGATGTACAGTGTAATTATACATAATACTTATTATAATTTAGTGGATTTATTATTAATTTATCATTATTTACCTTCCTACCTATAGCTATTAATAAAAAGTAAATAAATATATTTAATTTTAATTAGTTTTTATACAATACTAGCTGAGCCAGTACACTCCGTTGCCCGTAAAAAAAATGCATCTCTTAAAAAAAAATATGATTGTATTTTAAGAAAATCGGTCGAGTTATCGGTAGTTTCCTAGAACATTATCATCAAAGGTTTCATTTTTCGGTTTATATATTGAGATAATAATATATTATGTTATCATTATGTAGGTACTTACGAAGTAATCAGTACAAGGTACAAGGTACAAGGTTATAGGTACCTACAAGAGGAGCTATGTGCAAATTGGGAGTGTGTGCAATTGAATAAAACTAATTATAAATACTAATATTAATATAAACATTTTTAATCTAAGGAATATATATACAGTAAAATACAATGATTAATATTATGATTAATGAAAAATATCATCTATGTAGGTACGAAATATCTTTTTGAACCAATGAACAATGTTATGACCTATCTATAAGTAATAAATCGTAATATAATTTCTAATACCTAAATTAGTACACAAATAATTTGTAATAGTTTATAGTATAAACACCATGGCAAACGTGTTGTCGGTGTGACTATGTATAATATTGCCAGAAACAAATAAGTCGTGTACATAGATATTATCAGTGGCGTATTTTGTATGTTTTTTGAGAGGGTGTGTAGATCATAGGTATATATACTCAAGGCTGGGCATTAACGAGTTAAAAATTAAAATTAATTTAAAACGTTAAGTTAATTAACTCGTTACTTTTTTTTTCAAATTAATTTTTAACTTAATAAGTTACTTTTTTTAAGATAACTTGTTGACTTCTAGTTAATTTTACTTCAAAAATATCTAAATTAAGTTAATTTTCTTCCGAAGAATAATGCAATTTGTTTTTAATTTGTTTTTACTTTGATGTATTATTTTAAATTTCCCCAGTAATTTTCTTGGACGTAAAGAAAAACTATCTAATAAACCCATGTTATGTGCCTGGAATTTTTTATTTTTGCAAATTAGCAAATTTCAACTTTACACTAGGTAAGTTAAGTTACTTTTTTTTCAAAGTTAACTTTTAACTTAACGAGTTAATGAAAAAAATACGAATAACTTATAACTTAACTTAACTTAATTTTTTTAAATTAACTTAACTTAGAGAATTTAAAAAGAAAACGTTAACTTGCCCAGCCTTGTATATACTTATTTGTTAATTGGTTGCAATATTTCTCTGTCTTACATCTACTACCACTAAGTTCATAATATACTCATCAAATATTATAAATAACGTTTTTATTCTAAATAACGATAAACCCAAAAATTGTGTAACATTTTAATGATAAATAACGTATAAAGGATTTTTTTTCAAATGTAAGTCCTGCCTAAAAATATTACCATTCTATATAATTTAGATAAAGAATATTATATAATATGCCTATTTTTAGTTTAAAAAATACTTAATTATAATGTTTTAATTTTAATGAATAATAATTTCCGAATTATGTGCACTTGTGAAAAATAAATATTATTAATAATATAGATACTCACCAATGATAATAATATGATAATATTACTATTTAACTGTATATTTTATCTGCCTTGTTTCTTCGACGACGATTAAATAAAAAAATTATTCAAATGCAATTGATATGTTATAATATAATTGTACATGGACATTTGAGATCCAACGTATTAAAATGTTAAAAAAAACATCATTGTAATATTATATTAACATCTAAATATAGGTACACAAAGTTCCGCTGGAAAAACAAGTAACACAGACACACGAATGCACGGAGCCGCAAGATAAACATATAAATTGCATGTATACTGTAATGGAATAATAATAACATAATATTATTTAAACATATACATTAGTACCTGTATAGTTATCATCATCGGTCACAATAATTTAATAATTATTACCATATATTTTATTTGATACATTCGTTACCAGTGGTGCTATAAGAATAACAGTTTTATAAATAACTAAAAATATAATAGGATAATATGTACATTATTTAAAACCAAATTTATTTTCTTTCTTAATTAGTTTAGGACCTAATATAATATTAAAATAGTTCATAACGAACCACGTATTTTTGCTTGTCAAATTCCCTTTATAATTCATCAAAATTAAAGATTGAATTTGGTTTTGGGGGGTCTGGACACCTCCCAAACAAAAAAAAAAAAAAAAAATACGCAACTGGATATCATAAGAATTCTTATAATTTATTAATATAGTGTATAGTGTATCAATCTGGTAGTCAGATCAATCATACATTAAAAGTATTTAAAACAATTTAATGAAATAGTATTAAATTATCCATAATGTTTCGCAATTCAAAACTCGTAATGTACAATAATATAATATACTAGGTACCTATGTACAAAAATAAAATTATCAATATTCGTTTTTTCATTAAGTAATTAAAATCCATGGCTTGTTTCTTCAAAAAAAAAAATTGTGTTAATGTTTCTTTGTCAATTGCTTTTTCATTTATTTGTGCATGGTGCGTTTATATGCATTCTTAGCTTTAAAATTACTTCGAAAAAAACGTAAAGCATATTGTTTTATTTTATAAGTCGACAAATATACTTCGAACCACATTGATTAAAATCATATTATGCATACAATAAAATTGAGGCCCAAGTTTTGGATAAATAATAATGCAGATTGGCAAGATAATTATGAAACGAAGTTTTTTATGGCACGATGTGGGGGCTTGCCGGGGAAAAAACGTTCCTGACGAAATGCTATAATTTATAATATACTAAACGGTTATTTTAGCCAAAAAAAATAATTTTTATTCCATCATACTGATCGATCTTGTAATGCGATAATACTTTTTAAAACAGATTTGAATTCGTTATTATGTCTACTTGAGATTGGTAAGTCCACTTTTCCAAATTTCACCACCCCAACCTCTAAAAAATAATTTAGCTTGAATATTTTGAAATTTCGGAATTTTCAAATGTTGACTATCCGGAATTTAAAGCATAAATCTTAAAATGTGGCCTGAACGATCTCAAATTGACATTCTAAAGAATTCAGATGAGTTTTCTGAAATATTATCGCATTATTAGATCGATTGGTGGGATGGAACAAAAAAAAACGGTAGCGGTAAGGTGTAGTGACGGTCCACGATAGATTGATTATAATTTATTATTTATAAATATATTGTGTATATTGATAATATAATAAAATTATATTGATAATATGTCACTACGCACTACGTATATTACGCATTTATAATAATTATTATAATTAATAAAATATATGTGATAACTAATAACTAATAAGTATATGAGTATTGAATTGTACGTACTTAATATATTTTTTGTCACACCTGCACCGAAAGTTTGGTTTTTGATAGCCGTTGAAGCGTTTGAAAGCGTCCTTTTTCCCAAAAAGTGCCAGGGCGGTAAAGGGGAAATCCCCAAAAGTGCCTAGCGCACATATCGTTATAGGCGTGACAAAAAATAGTATGTGTGGCTCGCGCGGGAAGGATATTTCATTCTTGTGGGGAATTCGGCCCTCGCCTACCGCACACGTAGCCGCGACTGAAATGGCTCATTTCCCGCCCTTGCCACACAATATACTATTTGTCAAGCCTGCACCGAAAGTTTGGTTTTCGACCGTGGTTGAAACGTTAGAAAGCGTCTTTTTCCGTCGAGCGGGCGGTAAAGTGGGAATCCCCATAGTGCCGGGTGAGAAAGTGGTAATCCTCAAAAGTGCAGATATCACGCGTAGTCCATGCACAACCAGACACTGAAATCTATACCACGGTCCTTACAAAACGTAAACTCTTGGTTACATCTTATATGCACATTATAATTTCCTTGCGTGACGCGTAAACATTATTATTTCATGAAATTGTTTTCGTAGAATAATCTGATTTTTGCATATAGTGCTTCACACATTTGCCATGATTACATTTTTTGTGCGTCGCGTTTGGTACACCATTCCTTATGGACACATCTAGACACGCCGTAGCGTGTCAAGCCAAGTTCTAGCTAACAGAACTGGCGAGCAGCACCGTGTGTAATATTACACGAACCATTTGGAGCCACTTTTGACCCCCTCATAACTCAAAAACTATTCCACATAAACATGTCAAATTTTGCTCATATATTGAGACTAACGAGATACATATGTGCTCTAAATTTCATAAACACACTTCAAACCGTTATTTAGATATTAACGTCCGAAAATCGTCATTTTTATCACTGACTTACCTATAGATCAAAATTCTAACCCAGTTCCAGATGACCTAGAAAGTTCAAATTTGGCATACAGATAGGTAGTTAGGTAAATACAAAGGAAAAAATCAGAAACTTGAAAATTTTTAATTTAAAATTTTTTAATTTTTAATTTTTTAATTTTTAATTTTTTAATCAATTGATTTTATTATAATTTTGCAATTATTTTATCTATTATGTTTAATTTTTCAATTTATTAATGAATTGTCTCTAATTTAATGTAATGTTGACTTAAATTACCTTTCCCGTATCGCCGCTCCAAAAATACGACTAGCCGAATATGTGTCGATATTGTCGACCCGCGCGCAGCAACATACTTTTTTTCTATCTATGTATGTAATTAATATTATTTTTTTTAAATATTACAATTAAAATAATTAAATAATTATTCTTACAAATTATGAATTATCCACCCAACAGTAGAAACTACAGTCAATAAAATTATGATAATTAAAAATATACTCAAAAAGAGTCAAAATAATTTTATATTAATTTTACATATATTTT